CTCAAAATCTTTCCGCAGGACTTCCGTCTCTCCTTCCCAACAGCTGTAGCGCGCTGATGTGATAGAGAGAGTTTTAGTAATGTCTAAAATGCACACTGTCCTATAGTATAGAACAGATATAATGCTATTTTCCAACTAAGTTTAGGTGCCATATAGTATTTCCATGTTGGGTGGAGAATATGTGAAAAATAATATTTGGATTTTAAAGGATTTCATTTTTGTGTTTAAAAGAGTATAGTATATAGAGTATGTATTTGCCTTGGTATCCTTATAGTTCACATTGTCTCAAAGCACAGCTCAAGACGCAGCGGTCTGTAAAAGGACAAAATCAGTCGACTTCCGGGTTGGGATTTGGGTAGTAAGTTATTTCACAACTTTTTATGGACTTAATGATTCAAACGAGCTGTTCATGTGTTCTTACAATATGTCTTTGGGAAAGAGTATTTTTTCCAGCAATTTAAACTATACGCAGTGAGATGTATGTCATTATTCAATGCTCTTCCTGATGAATGAAAACATGCCAACATGTCCCCAATGCTTACATACTGTAGATGTGTCATCTTAGCAGTGTGTGGAAGTGAGAATGAGCACTATCCGCCCCTCAATTTTTCCATTTCATACATACGTTTGCTGCTACAACCATTCCTTTGAAACAAGACTAAAAAAAAAAAAGAGTTGCACTGCAGTTCAACAAAAGTAAAACCCAGCCAATTGATCAACATCCTTGAGTCTGGTTCAGAGGCAGCAGCACAGAACGCAATCCCAGTTAGACTCCAGAACAAAGTAGCTTTTCAATGGATGAAAAACACAGAATAACTACTGATTACACCCTACCAAGACTAAATCATCCATTTCATAAATGCCCAAACATTCACTCAGCGGATTGAGACTCTTCAGAAGCAGCCTTTGGAGAAAAAAAATGAATGAGAAAAGTGCTCCTAAAACATAAAAAGAGGGTAAAAGATACAAAAGGAAAGAAGAAATATCATGTCTATCGGTGACATTTGTCAAATGATTGTGTGCAGCAGACTAATTGTAATGTGCTGAGGAGCAGGCGGGAAAAATAATAAAGCCAAGGAGCATGTCAATAACATTACGTTATATTAAGCCACACGCTCTGCCACATGAATCCATCTTCTGCTACAGTCAGAGCTTTCATTTCACTCTAGAGTGGCCACACATACATTTTAATCAGACATTTGGCTGGCCAAGCTGTCAGCTGCTCGACAACAGAAGCTGATAAGGGTGATGATAAATCATGTCGCTCCTGCTACATGCTTTTGGTTTGTTTCTGAGAACACCTGCCAGTTTTAGATGTTTGCCACACAAGGCTAATCCAGGAAACAGGATTTCAGTTTCCTCTCTTTTACAGTCCAAACTTTTCACAGGATAACCGTGACGAGATTGGTCCACATCTGCATGATTTCTATCACTTGTACATTCGGTGCAAAAAATACAGAAGCTATTTTTTGGACCAAATTGTTTCTGCTGTAATCCTGTCTGGAAAGTGCCTTGTTGGAGCTGAGTATCCTGTGACATTTTTGAACCCTTTCTGCTGATCCCTCTAGGCCAACACAAAGAGGAATACTTTTCTTTTGTTGCGCGAGTTTGGTTCGGTTCAATCTTTCGGTTTGTTTAATGGTCGCAATGTACGGTATGTGGTATCTCTGGCAAGGCATTCTACGGGCTGAGCCACGGGGATGCTTGAAGATATTTGCTTTGGAAAAGAAGGAATCCACCCCTGCTTTCATGGGGGGACTGAGATGATGTGCTCAAGTTTCCTCCCATAATATTTTAGTAAGACTGCAAATACCTAAAACGCTTGTAGCTGAAACCACCTTGTTAAAGACTAATTATTTTTAGCAATTATATTTTACTTATTTCTCTCTAATTCCTAATATCCAGTTTCACAAAGTAAACTCTGAGTCAAGACACGTTCTACTCAAACCTCAGGATAATAGATCTAATACATATTTAGGATATTCTTTTTTTTATCCATGCTAGCAGAATGGCTTGAGCGATTGCAAAGTCTGTCGAGCTGATTGATTCGTTGGACAGTCAACCACTTTGAACCCTACCTGAATATTGTCATGAAATTGAGTACATGCATGCATCATCCTGAGTGGATGAATACACTTACTGCACTCACAAAAAGGGACTGAGCGTCTGCCGAGGACACTCAGGTTTCAGGCCGGCATTTTTTTATGGAACGGTCTTCTGGAGCAGCAGCACCTTGAGAGCTAACAGGAAGAAGACTTATCAAGAAGGCCAGCTGTGTGCTGGGGTGTCCTCTGGATATGTTGAAAGTATTGGGAGACAGTGGTGAAGCTATAACCCCAGATGGACAACACCTTTCCCCCCATGCGGGACAACCCCCCCGGTATGTGAAGAGAGACGTATCTTAGGTCCGCCATCCTGCTGCTGTCACACTGCACAACCGCCTATGCTGCAATGGCAATTTGATTTGAAAGATGCAGTTAGTCACAGCAGACCTAGCAGTGATATTGGATGTCACCTACTGGAATAACTAAGGGAACGTTCCTCTATTATGGACTTTTGCATGCAAATCAACTCAGTGCTTTTGAGGTTTTGTTTATGAGGCACAATTATTTCATTTCAAACTGGGTTTAAAATAGGATAGATTATTTGTATTAGTCGGTGCAGCTGTATAGAAGACAACATACAATGGAAGACAACAACATGACATTGAAATTAATTCAGTTTCTCCGTAGCGACGCCTGTGACAGTATGAGCAAGGCCACTGTTTGTTGTTGTTCTTTCTTGACTCGATGGAGCTCATTACTTGTCAACATTTCATCAGAGAATCACTACGTGGAATCGGCCAGCGTTGGAGCTTGTTGACTGCGGTACCTCAGCGCCACAGCGATCCGGGGGATTACATAAGACATGCAAACCCCCCCCCCTCTTTTCAGCTCTTTGAAATGGAAGAGTTCCAAAGGAGAAGGAACTCACAAAGAGCGGAAGCAGGAAGAAGGCAGCGAAGAGACGATCTGCAGGGACGGTGGGTGGGGTAGGATGCAGGAAATAAATTCACGCACGGTTTCCCATGCGCACTCCGGCGCTTACACGACAAGACATTGCACAAAGAGCAAGCTATGTGAAGGAAGAAAGGAGGAGGAGGAGGAGGAGAGCTGGGGAAAGGGGTGGTGACGGTGGAGTATTTGGTCTTGAGCTCCCGATTGTATGGCAGATTGGATTTAGTAACATGCATTTCTGAGCAAAGACATCACGTTGAGACATCTTTCAGCCCCCCCCCACCTCGGTCTTCCTTTTAGTACAGATGTGTTATGGGCATACGCACATGTGCTGCTAATGGGTGGCTACTGGCTTCAGTGCAATGTTATGTGTTTATCGGTGAACTGCTGTTCATTTCAGTTTCTTTCCCAATATATTCCCATATTAATGCAAAACCTTATCAAAAAGGAAGGGCAGTTGGAGGAGGATACAGACAAACTGTATGTTGTGTTACTGTAGTGGTCATACATTTGTTATTTCAGAGCGTGATTTTCTAAGTATGCATACATTCTAACGGCTCCATACTTTATGCACAGAGACATTTTCTTCACCAGTGGAAATGGCCACCACAGCGTGTGGATGGATCCTGATAGATACCTATTACCCTGGGTGTGACCCCTCACTGTTCAGTTCATTAAGCCAGCCACCCATGTGTTTGGGACTCAAGTCCAGATTTAATCACAGCTTCCACCTTCCTGCCAATCACAATTAAATCCTGATAAGCCTCTCCGGGATGGCACCCGAGAGCCTCCACACACAGACAAAGGTTAATTTGCGAGCAGCAAGGGCCCAGCTACGGGGCCGAAGGTCACTTGATTGAATACATAGAGCATGTGGGTGTAAGAATGGGGAGGCGGCGGGGGGTGCTATGCAGCAATTACAAAGTTCATCAGTATTCGTATGCTTCCTTCCTGCCTAATGGGTTATTTACCTTTAAGAGGTGTGCTGATGCTGTGGCACCTTGATGAGGAAATAGCTTGTTCGTAGTCTTTAGGTAGCTGAAATCCAAAAGTAATTTCCTCATTGTCTTTTGAACTCCATTCACACATGTATAGTCACATCTGTGAGGAACTTCCACTGGAACTGACCATGGTTATTTAACCTTCAAACACCCTTTGTCCCTTTGGGTCTAATTCCGATAAGTATGGTTAAAGCATACTAAAGTTTTTTTTTTATTATATTACGTAATCTGTCTTTGCCTTTAAACCAACTCATTTAGTGATGTTTCTTTTTGAAAGATAAAATCCCTACCCTAGATAGTGATGGTGTAATTTATTTAATCACTAACCATTCCATTATTTATTCCTAGCATGACTATCAATTCCTGATAAATTGGTGGAAAAAAGAGTACTTATTTGATGTGAACCATCCAAAGTTCTTTAGAGGTTATTCTTAATACCAACGAATCAAATAATGGACATGGTATTTAGATGTTTGCTTTGATGACGAACGATGTTGGTATTAGTAGTAGATGTATTCTGAGCTACTTAGAGGTAGTGTAAGGCAGTTAAACCGGTCATCATTTCCTCCCTTATTAGCTGTGTTGTTGTGGAAACATATTTTTCCAACAACTGTATTAATTTGAGTCGCTTCACAAGTTTCTTTTGGAGTATGTAACCGTTAGACACAACTTTGCAATTACATCAGAACGCATGATGGTAACGTGTATCAATGCAACTTTCATCTTAAATGACCTCCCTTAAGAAAACGCTGCATAGTCTTGCTTTAACTCTGTGTCAATTCCACAGGGTTTAAGTAATGATTGCAGTAAAAAACAATAGATAAAGAAGCTTACCTCAACATTTGCACGAGCCTCTGCTTTAATAATTTATAATAATGGAACTGCACCACCGAACACGGAACAGAATACAAATGTAACAAAAGACTAGAGTCAAGTTCATTTTTACCCTGTTTATGATTTCATCTCTCTGACCTCGCATCCTGTGGTGCAATGTCATTTCCAGGCCAGCTGGCAGCGGGGACTTGTGAGATTGTGACGCTGGACAGGGACAGCAGCCAACCACGGCGGACCATCGCCAGGCAGACGGCCCGCTGCGCCTGTAAGAAGGGCCAGATTGCTGGAACCACAAGAGCCAGACCTGCCTGTGTGGACGGTAAGAGGACGAGGGGCAGGGGGATCTCGGATTAGCCTGTGTGTGTGTGTGTGTGTGTGTAAGGGGCCACTTCAGTTAAAACTACTCAAACATGAGTATTTTGACTCAAGTAGTATGTTTGAGGCGAGTGTGACATTTCAATTGGCTGATGTTGCAGTTCAAGCGCATGGAAAAAGAACGTTTAATGTGAAAAACGGTAACTAAATGGCTGTATCACGTCATCGGGGGGGTTTAAGGTGGATAAACCGAAGCAAAGTGTATCACAGGGCTGTCATTGTGGTGTTTGTAAAGCCTGCAACAAATCAATTTACGGTGGAATCATTTTAAAAAAGTGACGGAACGGAGGTTTTCTGAATCCCGCAACAGCAGATGGACTCATATTTCATGGAATAGTGACACTATTTGTGGTATAGTGTCTGCTTTGATAAAGAGTTCTTTTGTATTATGATTGTTGGAGCTTAAATAATGACTTAATTAATCATTTAGTTGATTAACAGAAAACGTGTTGTTGATGTTTTGACAATCAATCAATTGTTTATGTCATATTTTAACATTTGTCACTATTTTGTCACATTTTATCCACCAAATAATTAATATAGTAACAGATTTGGAGATAATGATGTCAAACATCTTTGGAAAATTTAATTTGCGATAGAAATGTACACAGAGACGCCACATCATTATTCCCCTAATTGGTTTGACTATACAACGGGTAGCCATTAAGGTAATTTATCACAAGTGATTTTTCACTTGTATACATGCCTACATGTCAATGTTTTATATAATCCAAGAGAATCTGCTGTTTTCACCTGGGTGACATTTAAAACGTGGAAAGGTGTTTTAAGTTACAGTGATATTTAGATTCATATGTGTCATTAAAAAATATATCATGAAAGGTTTTTGTGTTTTGTGGATGTATATCTTTTTATATGGTAGGTGCAGATGAAGATGACATTTGAGAGGAATTCAATTATTTTTTGGTGGAAAAACTGCTTCGCACTGGGTTTGTGCACTCAGGCTTAGCTGTATGAAGACGAATATGATCTTGTAGACATGGCTGCATGCCCACCTTCACTGTGGAGTCACTTTGCTGTCCTCACGCATGGCTCAGCGGCCAGTGAGTAAGTTTAATGGTTGATTCATAAATCCACCGGATCTGGATCATATCAGAGAGGTCTTTGTTACAATGTGCGGGCTTGATACTACTCTCGGAAGAAAGCTATAGGCTTAGCTGACTTTTTAGAGACCTACACAGGTGGACAGAAGTTTTTGACATTTCAATATCTGAGGTAAAAACATATGTACAAATGTACAATGTACAAATGTATAACGGTATAGTTTTTCATCATTATATGGATATACTACACAGTATAGAGAGAACACCATAACCTACTATAATCGTGAACTTGGGTAAAGGCAAGGAGAATTTATTTGTGTACATTTCATTATACAAAGATATTGCCCATGCTTGACAAAATGCATTAAAACACAAAACAAAAGCATTACAAAACATTGAAATCCAAATAAAAACATTTCATAGAAATTAAAAAGATAAAACTGAGAAATACTTCATAAAATTATAATGTTAATTTGGGTTTTGGGGGAACTCAGACTGACCCGAGACGCCGAGAGGAAAAAACAAACCGGTTTTTATGATGTAATCATCTTAAAAACTTAAAATCTCATCGAATAAGGAGGTTATTCTGACTGATTTTATTAAACCCTGCATCAGTGGCTCTGTGTTTTTTTGCACTGCTGCCTTCAGCAGAGAGCACTGGGATCGAATTTCCACCTGTTTGGGGTCTGCTGGGTTTAGCCTGAGTCTTGGTAATTACTCCTGCAGCTTAAAGACATGCAAGTCGATTGGACACTGTACAGTAGATCACTCATAGATCGGAATGAATTAGTACTGCTAATTGACACTGGATGTATGTGTAGTGTTGCATTGCAGTTACGCAGTGATTATAAACCTCTTTTGAAGGAGAATTTACAATGTTACTGTAAAAATAATGCATTTCGAAAAATGAACACATCATCAAGTCACAATCTGTAACAGTATTTGTTGTCTTTTGTCCCAACTGCAAATGCGTGGATGTTTAGACCTATGTTATTACACAGAGGCACTACTGTGCATGCACATTTTAATGTCAGGTAGTAATTTACTCCCCTATAGTCAGTTTTTTTCCCATAACAGATGACAGACCCTCACACTTTTATTGCTGTTCACATTACAATATCCCACAGCTGGATATTATTGCCATGCAATTCGGAGATGCTTGTCTCCAGAAATGCAATCATATTTGTTTATCCAGACTCTTTGGGGACATCATAAGAGAGCAAAAGCCAGAGAGAAAGCTGACATAAAAGACCCCAAATGCCACAAATGGGATTTCAATGAGTTTTAATCTACTTGAGTCCTTGAGGTCTGAGGTCTTTGTTTTAATATGCCTCTATCTTGGCCGACACGATCAGTGTCCTTCATGCTTCAGGCGCTGTGTCTCCTGCATGCAGGATGATCCAGAGCTCCATCAGCTGACACACCTGCCTTCCAGGACAGAATGTTGTGATAAAAAATTAAGAAAGCTTTAGTGCCGTTGATCCTGAAGAGAAACCTTTTTTTTTGTTGCGCTTCCAGTTCCTTCCAGTTGCCATTTGTGTGTTTACTGCTTAGAGGAAGTAAAATTGGGAGATTTCCTTATACACTAATAAAAAGCCTTCTGTAGCTGTGCTGTTTGATGCATGTGTCCACAAGGAGAGTGGCTATTGAAAGAATACTTTTAAACCTTCACCAATAACATCTCTGAAACATGAAATCCAGTAGTTTTCTCACCCTTTTTCATACTTCTCTTCTTTTTCTTTCTCTATCACTAAGACCAACTCTTAACGTCCTCCTCTTTGTCTAAACTGTATGTCTTCAATGGCTCTACCTAAGGCCTATATTTTAGCCTAGTGCTGCATAAGTACACACTTCCAGCTGAGATTTCATCCTCTTAGGTGTTTTTTACCTCTGTGCTTGATGACTTTTAAGAGAGCTGATATTGATTCTTATTAGGAGGGTAAGAGGCAATTAGAGAAACTTCTGCTGGCTGCGGGAAAAGGGGATGGATCTACAGCAGGGGGTACCTCCAGAGACATGCAGGAGGTTGTTGAGGGTCAGTGTTCGTGGCGGTGACAATGAGGTCCCGCCTGAGGTGAAGTTGTTTGTGCAAAAACACAAACAAAAATGATGCTGACATTGATGAAAGCCTCCAAGGTGACCCGTTTTAAGAGGGCTTCAGCCTAGGGATAGACATTTTTTTAATGAGTGCATGCACATTAAATAATTAAACACTAACACACATTGGTGCAAAACAACTAAGTATAATAGGGAAGTGAAAGGGAAACTTAAAACACTTCCTGTGCTCCCCACTTATGCTCACACCTTAGCTGCTAAATAGCATAGTGGGCATCTGAACATCGTTAATGGGAACATACCACTCACAATGGAGCAATACAAAGTTGTCCAAGTTTCAAGTACATTTTGGTCTTTTCATACTTTTACTTTTTTGAAATTCTTTCATAACACGCATAACATTGTATCATCACTTTGTCCAGAAACAGATTATTATGTTATCCAATATTTCCTCCCTTTTTGCTTCATTTTGGTCTCCACCAACTCCTGCAGGAAATATCCATCTCTAAGTGTTCCAATTTGTTTAGCTGCAGATCCCTCAGCTGAGTAGGTAGTGAAGTGGGTTTTTCAGTAACTGCTTTCAACTGCTTTGAAAACTATGCTATCCGAGCGGAGCGAGTGAACTATAACAGTAAAAGTCAAGCAAGCCCACACAGCAAAATCAATGAGCTGAAAGATGCTAAGACAACTTGCAGATACAGGATATTACATCTGTAACATTGGGGAAAGGAAGTATTTGTTTTCAATGATGTTGAGTGTGTGAGAGAAATGAGATTTGGATTTCTTGCAGATGAACCTGCCCTACGGAAGAATTCGCTTCGCTTCAAACAATTACAACAGTAAAAATTCACTTACACATAAATTAATCAGTAATGACAAGCCAACAATAACAAAAGAGATTTTTTGCAGACAATCAGTTTGGAAGCTTTGTCCGCAGGACTTTTGCTCAAAGTGTATTTCCACAGCGTGGTTTTGTTACATTGACTCAAGTAAATATCTAGGAGTAACTCTTCAAACCTCTGCGAACAAGTATCTTACGTTGTCATCTCTGTAAAGCTGCATTCTAAACCACAGAATTGTCCCTCATCTGGATACCAGATGCACATCCCAGGGAGGCTCGCATACTGTATATACAAATTGTTCCACTGGATCAGGCAGGGATATAGACAATGCATCAGGCTTCGTCTCTGGGCTATTAGACCGCACCATAGCTCCAATCACACTGCATCAGACCGCTGGTTTGATTTGATGCAGGGAGGAGCAGAGGGGGCCGCGGTCTGTCGGGGAAACGCGTCATGTCAGCTCCGGCAGCCAGATCGCGAGCTAGCCGCTACCCGAGCGCTGTCCAGAGAGACAAGGACCTGAAAACATTTTCCCGGTGGGGAATCTTGAATGTTGCTTTCTCTTTCTTTTGGCCTTCTTCTCTCTGGCACACAAGCATTTGGTGCATTCTGAAGACGAATGACCATGGGCTCAGACTTGTCAAAGGGAGGGGAGGGGAGGAGAGGGCAGGTAGATGGGGTCAGCAGCCAGAGGTGGCGTTGCTTCTCCTTGAGTGTGCTGGTTTGGAGGCTGCAGCCTGTAAACTGGAGCGGGACACAAAAAACTTATGCCAGCTGAAATCTTGTTCTCCGATATCAAAAATTATTTTAAAAAATGTGCCATTATGGGTTTTTTCGTTTGTTTTTGTATCAGTTTGAATCTAGTATCTGTAATTTAAGAACTTTCGGAAAGTTAATTTCCTAAAGTGTACTGATCAAAATCAGAAATTAGTGTGAATTTTTTTATGACCAGCAACTTCACATGTAAGTTCTTCCCCACCCAAAGT